ATTTATATATAAAATATTTATAGTTTCTAATATTTTAGGATATATTATTGCTAAGTGGTATATAATTGGTGTGTGTAGCTACTGCCACAAATCACTATGGTTAATCACTATGGTTAAAAACAGCACAAAAGAAAAACAGCTCCTCTGTATATTTTGTGGCTGTAAAAGCAACTTTGCTTTTTTCAGAAAGGCAAACCAGCACAAGACATGAGCTGTTAGTCCTGAAGTGTACTACAGTCAGGTATGGGAAACATATTTACAAACAGGCTGAGAGGCAAGCAAGAGTGCTATCACACACAAAGGTGTCACCAGCAGGGAAATAACAAGGAAAAGAATCATGTTGATGCCTTCAGGAAGGCAGGTTGTAGTTGCCAAGTCTGGCATTGACTGCAGTCTGCAGTTCCTCAGTGTTTGATGTGCTATCCTAAAACACAGGATGCCTCTAGGCTGCCCTACGCTGCATCTTTGCACAGTGGCAGGTGCTGCTCTATGCTGAGTAACTGATGGCAAGATGACAAAAGCAAGACAGCTGTAAGTGTAAACTCTGTGGATGTGCTAAATGCTGCAGTCAGCACTAAACCCCAAGTTTTGGCTCACCTGACCATATGCTGAGGAGTGAGAAAGAAGTTTCAGAGCCTTAGAGGTGTAGATGTGTATATACTGCTGCAGAGGCAAGCTGCAAGAAGGGTAAAGATCCACCACACCAGTGACTCTCCCCTCACACAGATGTAAAATGGGATCATGAAATATATGACCACCTTTAGAAGCTGTTTTTTATAACCTGCAGCTCTGCAGAATACTGGTGTGACATTCACAGCCTAGGAGCTACGGTACAGCGGAACAAAGAGAAACGACAAACTTTGACAGAACTAACAGAATTATTAAACCATTGGGGTTCCTTTGGAGAAGAAAGAACTTTTCATAACTACTTTGCCTCTAGCCTGGTTTATAGGTTACACATTGTTCAACATACCTCTATGCCTGGATTAAACAATTCATTCTCTTTTCAGACAAATACATTTGGTGGAGACATAAATCCCCAGCCTCACTATGTCACCCAGTCACCAGAGAACTGCCACACCAGACCTCAGAATAAGGAAAAAACATTTGTCAAGCTGATTAATTCCTACAGGGTACCCCTTAATGCCCAAATTCTGATACTGTTACCCACACTGGAATTCAGTTTTGCAATCGTTCTCAGTTAAGCTCCCTGCAAAGCTAAGCACACATCTAGCATGAGTAAGGGAATCCCTCATTTCAAAACATTTATCTCCCTGAATTTCTAATTTTGAAGCAATAAGGTAATGAATGATTAAAATTGTTTAAAAATATGAAAAAAGATAAAATTGAGAAAAATGTTATAAAATAAGATACCTTTAAGTGAATCTGTATATAGACAAATTCTACTTCTATGGATGTGACCATGCAGTCAGGTCACAGTTCAGCTGATTTTTGGTTAGCACTCATGAAGCATTGTGGGGGAAAATGTTATGTGTGGTCTTCATGGTAATTTTTTCCTCATTGCAATTACAGGGATAATACCAATATTATCCCAACGTCAATATTACCCCAAATTAACAATGGTAATTTTTTCCTCATTGCAATTACTGGGATAATACCAATATTATCCCAATGTCAATATTACTCCAAATTAACTAGGCCAATAGAGATATTCTGAGGATGAATTGAGTAATTTGAGGATGAATTATTAACAGACATATTTTTCAGCATTTCTTGATTTTGTTTAGTATTCTGGCTTCGTCAGGCAGCAGTTGTCAGGTCACTTTCATTTTCTGGCTTAGTACAAATTAATTACTTTGCAGTTTAAAAAAATTATCTCTGCTTTCAGCTAGAAGAAAAACATAGGATTTGAATGTTTCTTTCTATGAAGCATACCCTCTCCTACAAAATCAAATTCTAGACTCAAAATTGGTAACATGTTCATACACGTCAGCCAAAAGTTTTTAAAACATACACAGAAAATGTTGAAAAACACAAGGTCAACTTCATAAAGAAATAACAAAGTTTCTTTTTAGGTGATTAAATACCACTGAGGCCAGAGTCTGGGGCATCAACATGTCTTTGCAGATCTGGGTTATAGATCGATTCAAGCTAGCTATGTTAGCCTTGACTGCTGCTGTCTGGAAGAAGTAGTCACTAAATTTTAGGCAGAAAGTAACTGATGTAATGGATTATATTGAAGCCTTTATTTATGACTAATTCAGAAAAGGCTTTCCAGTGCTTTTTATTTTGTTTCTTTTTTCTTTTTTTCTAGCACAATAAGCATCAATTCACAGGCAGGCTGAGGCTTAGGGAACAGGGCACAGTAAGCCAAAAGATTTGATTGTTGTCAGTTTCAGAAACTAGTAACACTGCTTGCTAGCAAGTTCAAAGATCTGGGTGACCATGTTAAAGGGAAGATTAAAGAACATTCTGTTTTTCAGCATCAGGAAATATCTACTCTACCCCCTTGCAGAAAGCTTGTAGTCAGTGGCACTGAGCTGTTTAAGACCTTGGGGACATCTTAGCTTGAAGTGAATCACCATTTAGCAAAATGTTGTGAAAAGCATAACCAGGCAAGAACAACATCCTTTATCACTATGCCTCCATTATTCAGAGGCAGAGGTCTCACCTATCAAATAAGATATACTACTTATAACATGGAGAACATAAAGTGAACTTCTTATTTTACAGAAGACACAAGATGCAGACCACCCCCATAACATGTATAATCTAAAGTCTTAAGCTTCCACACTTCTAGAAGTGGATTAAACTTGAAATCATCTGAGATTATGACAAATCCTTTAAATTCTCCTCTGTACACCCCACTCCCCCAACCTTCCTGCAAGAAAAGTCAATGACCACGAGAAGGTGGTGACACCCTCCCCTAACCCAGAATAACAGTGCAGTAGTCTGAGTAAAATCAATCTCTGCCAATGGACTCTAATTCTGTCCTAAAGGCATCATAAAACACAATAACGTCAATACAGGCTCAGTGATGAAATTCACAGCATCAGCACCTATGAGAAATATATCAAGACCTCCAAATTTATTTGGCATTTGCTGAGAAAATCACTCTTAATGACTATTAATTCCTGTTACATTTGAGACAGTGATCTAAAGATTTAAGGAGCACAGAAGTTATTCTTCGCTTTGCTGCCATGATGTTTTGGCATTCAAAATGCCAACTGTCCTGATTTAAATGTCATCTGCAATGTGGGTCAAGTGTGAACAAAAGATGCATGCAGGAATTACTTTCTAAATTGAGTGGCTCTACGTTTGATATTGCGTGTTGGCAGAAGATGAAGAGCTGAGCTCCCAAAGGTATTAAGAGTAGCCACTTGTCTGGAAAAGGGGATTAACATCCACTCTTTTTCTTCTAGTTCCTCTAAATTTATTTAAAAACTGTAACAATTTGATTCAAATTGAACACTGAAGCAGAGCACAAATGCCATCAAGTGATGTTATTCAGCAAAGATCTACTTCAAGACTCTCTGGGAAAGGGAACATTTCACTAGGCATCCCTAGTGCACTGACTAACAAAATCTTGCATGCTTTGCTTCTCAAAATAGAGTTCTGGATATCATGAGGCACTGACTAGGAAGAATGGCCCAACCTCCATACCAGCCAGAAAGGGAAGCTGCAAGAGCTCTGAACATAAACAGGCTTCATATCCAAAAGCTGAAATACAGTAACTACCAAAATGGTTCACGCTCTGAACATAAACAGGCTTCATATCCGAAAGCTGAAATACAATAACTACCAAAATGGTTCATGGACATAAAATGTGCTGTGAGCTGCATCACAAGGACCATAGCTTCAACAACACACTCTAACATCTGATGCTAGCTGGAAATCTGAAATGAAAACCTATTAACTACTTGTTATATCTGTGTAAATGCAGACTTCAATTTCTTTCATTTTTCTGGCTCCTCTGAAGCTGGCTGGATAGCACTACAAACAGGATCTGGATTAGTTTCTTTAAATGCTTAAACTCATTTCCATTCTGGCCTTCAAGGCTCCCCAAGGTACAATTTGAACACTTAAAATTTAAAAAAAAAGGCACATCAGCTTTTTTCTGTATTGCTTATTCATGTTTTCCAATTTGCAGTAATTCAGCATGGTAAACTAACATCCTCTCTTTTATGTGCTAGTTTAAGTTCCAATTTTGGCAGTTTTGTAAACTAAAGTTTTACACTCCCACCGTAGTTAGGATAACTTTCTTCCCTAATGGAGACTTAACACATCTAATTGCTCTATTTTTGAGCTGAAAGCGCTGTTGAAAAATGTCTCTGTTCTTTCATTCCATGAGCTTTCCAGCTGCAACATTTTCTACTGAATAAAACATTTTCAGTGACTCTGCCCATAAATAATGCAGCACAAAGACCAGTGTAGTCTCAACTGTACATAATAACCTCAGCATTTCACTGAGGATTTTCTAGTGACATCATAATAAACCACAATAAAAACCTGAAGATATATTAAATTATAGTTTGGGTATATTTTATGCTTTTTTACACACTATAAAAAAGCACAGAAATTTGAACATTTTTCTGGATTACTTCAAAACTATAAGGGACAGGATTTCAAAGCAGGATGCAGAGGCATATTTCATACTTGTAAGGACAAACTGAATGACTGAATATATCACTATTATTTATTTTGCATGTACAAATTCCCATGTTATTTCTTCACAGCCCTCAGTCTGATTTAAAGCTTTTAAAACTTAAAATAAATAAATAAATCAACCTGCCCTAAAACCTCAAGATCAATGTTGACAAACATTGACACAGAATGTCATTTTACTCCCCTATAAATTGTGAAGGAATTGGGACTACAGAGTCAAACATTTGGGTTATGCCAAAATATCCCTGCAGAATTCCATGATCTCAAAGTCTGTTATTCAGAATGCGAAAGAAAATGGTAACTTGATGTAACTGGTAATACAACTGTTTCAGGGGAATAATTTGCTGATGTGATTTTAGTCTGTTTTACATGTCTTGGTCTTAGGAGTACTTAGGCATCTAATAGATGAAAGTGCTGAAGTTGTTATCTCAGAAGGAAAGGGTAACAACCATAGGAAATATCCAGTTGGGAATGAATAAGGACTGTGAAGCCTGGGCAATTTGAGCCATGGGATATCAACTTCTCCCTCCACCTCTGTCACCTGAGCAGCAGGGAGAAAGGGCTCACGATGTGTAAGAGGATGCTCCAAAAGGGGAGAGTCAGGAGACAACAATGAACTCAAAGTTAGGGACTGCTTCTGTTCTTGGGTCTGAACTTCAGCTTCAAAATGCAAATGAAACTTGTCTGATATTGCAGATGTTTACTTGCCTATGTGCTGTGAAAGCCTGGATTGATTTTAGTATGTAGAAAATCCTCACCTAGAGGAAAAGTGCCTTAGTTGGTTGATTTTAGTATGTAGAAAATCCTCACTTAGAGGAAAAGTGTCTTAGTTGTGAGTGCAGTGACTAGCTGGCATGCAGCAACGCTTGATTTTAACCTCTGGTGACTAGCTGGCATGCAGCAACGCTTGGTTTTAACCTATCAAATCACAAGAGGCCAAGGCTCCTCCTGCCCAGCCTACACTAGTGGCTCACTGTTTCAGGGGGAATTTCAGAGAGATTTGGAAAGCAGTTGAACTAGAGGCAGATGATAGATAAAGCACTGTTTCAGGGGGAATTTCAGAGAGACTTGGAAAGCAGTTGAGCTAGAGGCAGAAAGACCTTAGGTGATGATAAAGAGAAGTCAGGGACTTGAACCAAAGACTGCACTGAGAAAACTGAATTTTCCCTAAGGTCAGCATTGAGTCTGACTTGAAGGTCAGGTTCTTACCTTTCTGAAGGAAGAAATACAGCAGAATGTACCTCTCTTCTTTAAAGCCACTCTACCAATTTTTGCAAAGGAGGATATATGGGAAAGGCTAACTTTGTCACTCACATACTTTCATGGACTTGTAGCGTCAAGATTAAAAACCTGCTATGAAAAAATGGCAAGCTGCCCCTTGGAGTGCTTGGCTAGCTAATGCTTCACTGTATTTTCTAGTCTCTGCTTTGACCCAAGGGTGAGAATTTGAAAGTGCAGGAGGTCACTGGAGCAGTGGGAGCAAGGAAAACTCAGCAGAAGGAGAGGATACTGGAGTACAAAAGGGCAGAGAGAGAGGGTATGAAAGCACCTAGAAAGGTTCCTGTGGTATGGAGAGATGAGATGACCTGCAGAGAAAGGACTGCAAGTTGTGACAGAAAAAGAATTCACCATAAAAAGGACTGGAGAAGACAAGGACATTCATGTTAGGGAGGTGTGAAGCAAAAGAACCAATAGACAGGAAAAAAAGAGAACAATGTAATCTGCTTACGTAGTAAGAGAGCACATGGGAGCAGAAGGAGCAAAGAAGACTAGCAAGTGATTGTTTTATTTTTTGTTGCTGTTAACACATCTTTGCCTTGGAGGTGAATTCAGCTTTGAGCTCCCCATGCACTGAAGAAGGACTGGTCCCTTCCTGATGAAAGTGTCAGAATACAAGTACATTGGGATGCATTCGAATGGAAAGCATAGCTGCAAAACACAGCCATGATTTATACTGTCCCATTTCAAATACTGGTTATCTCATTTACTTCTTTCAAAATACCTATGTGTGCATATATACATATGTATGTGTTCCATGGAGAAAAGTATCTGCCAGAGGCCAACACTTCTGATCCTAAAACCAAACTGTCTCCAGGGAGACTGACAGTCTACAGCATATTGTTATTTTTCTAGCTTCCAAACTACTGCTTAGGAGGATAAAATTTATTCTTTTTCTCACATTTAAGTAGAACAGTCATACCCCTCTACATGTATATTTATGCTTGCCCTCCTTTCCCTTGATTCATTCTTTCTCAACTTACTGGATGGAGCTCTCGATGCGTGTGACGGTGAGGAAAGCTGCCAGGTTTGCTGTGTAGGAGGAGATGACAATCAAGGCAAAAAGCCACCAGGCTCCCATCATCAGTCGGGTTGCCAGAGTCGTGTATGGAACCTCTCCTCCTGTGGGGAAGAAGGAAAAGCAAGTGTTTTCACTTGGCAGTGCTTTAGGAAACAGCAGGATTTGGAGCCACACTTTCTATGCAACACAAAGTACTGAGGGAAGCCCACACTGCTAGTCATCATTTGTGTATTTAATCTCTTTTGCTATTGTGCCTTTAAGTGCAATTCTTCTGCCAGTCCTGTCCAGTAATGGAAATAAACTTCAAGGTCTCTGAACAAAACCAGCAAAAGTAAATTCTTACAATGTTCTTTCCTTAGAGTTCTTATCTACACACCTTAATTAAGTTTCTCTTTCATTCTGAGGAACATAAAGTTAAAAGCCCCCATCAAAACACAATTACTTTTCACAGTCCTGTAGGCAGGCAGATGCTTGTGAGAACCATATGTATGTGTAGAACTTGCTGCGAGTGAACTTGGACATGGCAGGAAAAAAACCCTGATAGATATTGAAGAAGAAAGCAAAAACTGTTTTGTTTTCCTATAGTTGCTTTCCTTTAAAATGCAACTTCCATGTAAACAGAACATTAGCAGCAATGAAACCTATCAGGATGAGCTGCACACCACCAATTATGTGACCAGAGTCCAGTTAGGCAAGCCATGAAAAGCAATATTTTTTATTCAACAGCTGCCCCAAAACACACTAATCTGGAGTATTTGAAAGAACTTTCAGTTAAAAACCAATAAAAGAACCTCAGACTTTCAGATGAAGGAAAAAAAATTTTAACCCCCCCTTTTGTCTGCAGTGTAAGTTTTGTCACAGCTACAAGTACCTAGGGGGGACAGGTGAATGCAGCAAAGACCCACAGTGAGCTGCTCAAGACCACCCTTTCCCTCTCCTTCTACACTCAGCAACTTGAAAAACTGCCATTGCTATGGAGATAGTTTTCTCAGATGCAAAGTCTTATGATGGTACAATACCTGGGATTTGCAAAAGCAGTTTGTTACTGATTCAATCATCTGTAAGGAGTTTCTGTGCTGGACCTTCACTTGTGTAAAAGCTCCTTCGTGTTTCCCCAGCAAGTAGGTTTAAAGGGAATACAAGTTACAATTATTCCCATCCCAAGTACAAATAATAATGTACAGAAGCTAGACTTTTCATCGATATAATATTTGAAGAATCATCTTATTGTTTTGTTCAAAGTTTGCCTTACCTATACAAAGCAGTGGGAACTCTGCATTACCATACAAATTTGAAGCTTTTTTCCTGCATCAGTGATGTGGCATTGTACCATATGTGAAATAATACCTGACTCCATTCATTTACATTTTTGGTATATAACAAATTAAATCCTTTGCCTTTTGAGAATTCCAGTACTGAAAGGCATAATCCACATTACTCTTGTGCAATTGGAAATACATTTTCCTTTATTTCCAAGATGCCATGTAATTAACTGAAACAAGAATCTACTAACCAGATTGGAAGATATTATTTCAAAATAAGGACTATTGAAGATGAATGCTAACTTCAATATCCGATGATTTGGTTTTCTGTGCTACATAAATTTTAAATTATTTTTAATAGAATTTCTCTACTTTACAACAGTTTTCGCAATGTCTTTGGAATACTATTTGTCTTTTCAACTTTCAGTTGCCAGTCCCTGCAGACAATCTTCATACTGAGAAGAAGCCAATGATCTCCAGGACATTCTCACATTTTCATTTTTTAGCTTAATTAGCAAAAACTCTAAGTTCTTACTTTCTTAAAATTGAAATTCCGTGTCAGAAAAGAGAGGAACACTAAAAGTCACACACTTACCTTCTAGTTTTCAAGCAAGGATGCTGTGCCCTGTATGAGGATAAAAGCC